GAAACGAATCCCCCCTTGAATACCAAAGGGATAACTGTACCTCAGACTGAGTGGCCTAAACAACAGAAATTTATTTTCCTATTGTTCTAGAGGCTGGAAGTTGAAGATCAAAGTTGATCTGGCAGGGATGCTTTCCTGAGGGCGCCCCCTGGCTTGCAGGTACTCATTCACATGGTCGGTAGTCTGTGCATTCATGCCCTGGATGTCTCTTTGTACACCCTAATCTCCTCTTCTTATAAGGACACCAGTCAAACTGGATTAGGGCCTATCCGAACAACTTGATTTTAACCCAATTAACTCTTCAAAACCCAATTTCCAAACACAGTCACACTCTGAGGTACTGGAGGTTAAGGCTTCAACATATGAATTTGAGGGAGGCACGATTGAGTTCATAAAAGCCCTTACACCAGAAACCAGGACTTCAGAAAGACCTTCTTTTCCTTCATCTCCCATTGTCAAGGTGAACCTGTTTTAACTTTGAAATATATCTCTACGTCTCCATGCCACCTAAACTCCTCAGAATGACATAATAAAATCTTTAAGATTTAAGCCTTGCCTTCCTATCTAGGTTTGAACTTCAACTCTATGACTTCTATGCTTTTCTTCTGAACAGGTCAACTACTTGCTATTGCATCACCTGAAATCAACGCTTCCTTTCGGTCCACGCACAAGTCACCTTTCAAGATTTGCTTCAAGATTATTTTCCCTGTGAAGTTCTCCCTGACTCTGCTCCGACTCTCACTGGCCTACCCTGTCTCATTCCCTTGTCTGGGAAGAGTCCATCATTTCTGCCATTCTATTATCACTGAACACACTGTATTGCAAATACTGGATCCACGTCCTCCGTACGATTATGAGCATTTTGGGGAGGGCAGGTGAGGAGGAAAAAAACGATGTAGGCTTTGGAGTTTGATTGGATGAGTGTAAATCCTAGTATTAACATTTTTTACTACATCAACTTTGTCAAGTTATTTCCTTGTTAAATGGGAATAGGAATAATACCTATTTCATAGGGTTATAATAAGCGGAAAATGAAGTAACCCATGAGAAGCACTTAGCATGAAGCAGAGACTCAATAAAAGCTCAGTATTCTTATAAAACATATAGAATATAAGAATAATGATAACTGTCTTCTATGGAGCGTATTCTGTATTCTGTGTGCTATGTGATTTGCATATATTATCTCTTATATACCTATAACAAATGTAGGAGATATGTATGATTGCCCCATTTTATAGATGAGGAAACTCAGTTTCAGAGAAGGTAAGTAGCTTGTTGAAGGCCCAACAGCCAACATGTGGTAGAACCAGGATTTAAGCTGAGACTTAGATGTTCCAAAGCATACTGTCTACATTTTGACATCTCCAAAGGCTGACTCAATACTGAAGGCAGAGTGAGTGCTCAATAAATATTTGTTGAATTACTTAATCCATTATTAATGCACTTTTAAAGTTATATTAAATATACTTTTTAATGCTAATTTAATTTAATTTAAGTTAATTAAAAAAATTAGAGGCTCCCTACAATCACCTAGTTTAGAAGCCCTTGCTTCTCAGCCCTGATGAAGGGCTTTTCATCCCTATCTTTGAAGACCTGCTGTCCAGAAAGACTTTGCCTATCCTGACTACTTGTATTAAGAAGCCATTATTTTTTTGTGTAAAAAAAAAAAAAAAGAAAAGAAAAAAAGACATTTAATTGCCAGCCAAATCTTCTGATCAACAAGAAAAGAATCTGAGTTGCCCAGCTGAGTGGTATACAGACCTACCTAAATTTTATATCAAAATATTTCTTATTCATAGGAAAGCATGTAAACAGGGTCATATAGGAAAAGACACAAACAGTGTCTCATATGAAATTCATTTACTAAGTGACGCTGGACATGGACATAGAAGTTAGCGGTGTACACACTATTTTTGGAATAAAAGTAAAAAGTAAAATATGTGTCAAACAAAAGGAGGATATGTCCAAAGGTGGTAAAAAATCATCAGATTTCTGCTAAAGTCTCTCTCTCTCTCTCTCTCTCACACATGTACACACACACAGACACACACACGCATATACTCACACATTCATACACCCACCCATACATCAGATCATCAGTTGAAAGCTATTGCTTATACAAATAGCACTTTCCATTTTGTGTTCATCTTCCATCAATGCTGCTCATTGATAAAAGGTCTACAATGTATCCAATATCTTGTTTGCTTTTTCTATAATGTATGTTTTTTCTCATTTCAAATAAAACCCAAACCAACATAGAAATTAATGATTAAAGCATTTTTTTTAAAATAGAAATACACACAATTTGTATCTCTTAAATGAAGTCCATCATATGAGCCTCAGTAGGGAATTAATTTAATTAACACAAACCTTATTTATACAACTTAGATGAACTTCAGGGATACATTTGTACAAAATGAAATAACAGGTCAAGTCGGCCCACGTGCTCATTTAGAGTTTTCCAGTGCCATGATACGAAACTGCTCCAGTTACACAGTGACATTTTAATAATTTTCAAACACTTATCTTGAAGTTCTAAAAATACCATGTGTTAAGGTGTGTCTTTCCTGAAAGACATGCTATTAATCGGTAAATTTTTAGGTGTTTTTCTCCATCAAGTACAGGTAAAAAAAAAAAAGAGAGAAATATTTATCTATTTTTTATGATCATTTTACAGCCATACTGACTTAAAATAGTTATTCTGTCTCTCTAAAAATATGATATACTTTTGTGGGACATTTATAATAAGGTAGCAATAGAAAATTGTTCATGAGTGTTCAGTATAAATTGGAAATAATACTTAATTTCATATGAGATAATAATCATTTGAGGAACAAAGTTATAAAACTATAAAAAGATCTAGGGACTTATTAGTAAATATTTCAAACTTTTTACATCATATTTTGCACAATATAATTAATGTTAAGTGTTTTGCTGATATTTTTTCTTTAAACCTTGCAAGAGATAGTTTTTATATTGCATGTGTTCCCTAAACAAAATGGGACTATTATTGAGCACAGTTTAATATATTTGTTTAAGTATAAATGTAAAACTTCTTTTTAAGATACAACTGTGGATTAGTATAATTATTACTGGTTGATCAGTGTTCAAATGAGTGCCCTTCGCTCCCAAATGGCAGATGCAATCTTTCAAGTGCGAGCAGTTCTGCTAGTGTAACATGCCTGGCCTTTCTCTGTTCCTTTACTCAGTTCTTTCCAGAGAAGGAGGAGGAATTTAATCTGATTGAGTTTGGAAGGAGATATGGGCCTGTACAGGGTAGTACCCTGTTCTGCTCTGAACCTCTAGGCTTTAAGTTCCACAGTGGAGGCTCTGCCCAGGCCCCAACTCAGCTTTGTGACTGAGGGGCAAGTTTACCTAAATCTGGAGCTCACTAAGAGGAAGCCCTCTTGCCTGTAAAGATATTTTATGTTCTTCTTTATTAGTGTTATCAGAAATAAAGATGATATTTTGGTTTCCGATCTACCTCACTCATTTTTCTTTCTCAATTGATTCAGAACTGGGGTGGCAAAAAACGAGAGTTTTTGCTGGGCTCCTTCAACCCATGAACAAGTAGATATATTTTATTCCTTTTATCCACTGCAGTGCACCAAGATGGGGATTTCTCCCCTACCAAAAGACATGAGGAACATAAGACAAAGTCATTTAAATAATTTGTATTAATATAAAACCATTAGGCACGGTACTTATATTCAAGGTAAGTCAATTAAAGGTAATTAAACTACCCCCTTTGAAGCAAAATAAAAAGCCATACATTTCTTTCTAAGGACAGTTTACATTTCTATTTATCCACATATATATGTAGGGGGACATAATATGCATCCTTACCTTTTGTATTCCTGTATTCCAAAGAAAATATTAAAATAAAAAACTGTACACGATGATTTTCACACTTACCTCTGTGGAACTTACTTCCATTGGACAGCTATTCCACTTGCTCTAATAGTCAAGTAATTCTAATTGTAAGACTGCTCTTCCCTTGTATATGTGAATTATGCTACAGTATTTAGGCATGCAAACATGCAGGAAAATAGTCATGCATTTGCCAAGATTTCAAATGATACAAGTAGGAGCACCAAATTATGATAGTTGTTCATTTGGGTTGTTGTTTCGAGAGACATAATGTATTTAAAACACACAGATTTTTAAAAAGAGCTGGAATAAAAGAGTCCATTGCTAAAAAGACAAAGCTATTGAAATGTCAAGTAGCTGGTTCTAATAAAGAACTTGCTAAGAAAAAAAAATTCATACAGGAACAATCGCTTTTTCTCTGGTCACTAGAATATCTAATCCTACATCTGTTTAAAATAAATAATATCAGCATTTTTTCAGTGTTAATTTTTGTTGGGTTACATAAAATGCAAGGAATTTTTTAATAACCTATAAACAGAAGATACAAGGTAAACAACACAAATTCTTAGAAAGACTTCTAAAAAAATAATTGAAAAGCTTGTTGGTTGTCTTAAAACAAAGTATTATACTGTTATATACTATAAGGTACAGGAAACACATTTGTTTGCAATATTCTATTCTGACAACCACTAAGCTAGAATTCTTAATTTTATACATAAAATGAAATTTTCCATTTCTAAGTTTTGAACTATAGCACTTCAGATGAAACTGAGAGATGTATTTTTAATCACAAAGTTTTAACTTCATTTATTCTATCAATTTTTGCCTAATAAGACAAGGTGGTATGAATCTTTGTATTGTGATAAATTGTTTTCTCATCCTCATCCTGTTTGCATAGGAATATGAACTTGTGGTTCCTTGTCAAATGAGTCTTTATTACAAAGACGAGAATGTAAATGCATGTGAGTCTCTGTGATTTTGGAATATGCATCAAATACTGGCTGCTAACAGCTATGAATATTTATCAGTTGCTGTTATTAAAAAGACACTTTCTTTTCTCCCAGAGATTTTGAGTAAACAATTTCAAAATGTAACCCCATCTGTCAATGTTTTCTGAAAACAGTACAAACCTTCTTTTTTGTCTTCTGGAGTAATCTTCACTTTTGTATCTGTTATGTCCTTGAATGAGGCCAGAAAAAGTACCACATCTCCTTTCTCATTCTTTATGGGAACAATATCCAATAGGCACCAAAATGGGGACCCTGGAACCATAATAAAAATACAAATCAACTATTGCTTTGTATTTTTTCTATGAAAATCTCAATTAATAAAAACAAAGCCCTTACTGTTTTTGTTCTATCCCACAACTCCCCCATCTTAAAAATGTCAGTTTTCAGATTCCATAAATATCTATCCTATGTGCATATCTCTTCATTCCCAAATGAAATACTTTCTCTGAAAATAAGGCAGTATTTTAAACAAAAACACTAGTCTGTACTGAGACATTTCTGCTTACATCACTTAAATTGTATTTCATCTTTGAACTTGTTGATGTTGAATTAGTGCACTTTATGAGGCTGCCCTTTCCCACCTACCCCCTGCACACACTGGTTATTAAATAAAGACTTTTGTTTGGCATGAGTTTGCTAGAGGATTATTTAGACAATTTGAAAATCAAAGATCACCTACCAGAATGCTAAAATAGAAATGATGGAAAATATCAAGTTTAGGGGAGGACAAACAGCTACTTGAACTCTCATACATTGCTAGCTGTTTGCAAATTAATATGTCTATTTTAAAAACTGTTTTGCAGTATTGAGATTTATTCTCACAATACAACATTATACATCCATGTGAATGAGCGACTTGCCATTGTTTGCAGCCAAATAGATGAATATCACTAACATAATGCTGAGGAAAAGTAGTCAAACACAAATGGGTAGAATGCAATAGGAATTCATTTACATGAAGTACCAAAGCAGGCAAAACTAATCTATGGTGTTACAAGTCAAGTTATTGGTTATCTTTGGGGAGATAGTAATCAGGGAGGCATTCAGGTCAGGGAGTTTGTGGGGTGTAGGCCTAATTTTGTTTCATGTTCTTTATAATGTTAACGAAGGAGTGTTCAGCTTTTGAAAACCAATGTATTTTTTAGCATGTATGTCACATTTCAAAAACATTTGAAAAGCAATAATCAAATTCAATAAAGGAACCATGAAGAATTTCATCAAGACTCAAGTTCAAAATATAGTAGCCACAGGGTCTTGCCTAAGGCTTATATTTAATATTTTTATATATTTAAAAATAAGTATTAATATTTCTAAAATATGTAAAAATTCTTGCATTATATTTACTACTAAAAGGCATTCTGGAAAGAAATATTTGACATTTATGGAAAAGTTTCTGTTGCTTAAAAGCTAAACTATTAATCTATTTACACATGATTTTCCTTCATTTCCTTTTAGTGGATGGAGAAGACTTCAGTGCTGTGAATTTCCGTCTTATTTGGTAGTTGATTTCAAAGTCAGGGCATAAGACAAAAATATAAGAGAGTTGGAAATATCCTTGCTATTTTGACTTATTTTGTATGTACTGTACCAATGTAATACCAGTCAGGTTCAGTGCAAGATGCTTTACACGTAGCTCACTAATCATTCCCTTCTCTGCTCTCCCAAATCTCTTTACCAAGCCCATCACACTAGATCTCTAACATCTTCAACCTAACATGACTGTAATAATTCAAGGCTATTCCCCAGGGTGTGGCTCTTCCTCTCTTACCTATGGGAGCAAAGATGATCAACTTTTTCAGTCAAGAACAATTCAGGCCCAGTGCAATAAATTTCTCTTAGCGTTAAGGTGGGAGGCAAGTCCCTTAGCCTCAAATTGAGAGATGTGAATGATTTTTAAGAGCAGAGTTAGAGGGCAGAAACTTTGTGTGAATTTTAACTCCTTCTGTATATAGCAGCAGTAATTACCATGTGGGCTGGGGAGTGACAAAACAGATGAGGCTTGCCAGGATTTAAGTTAATAACACCTTTAATTTCCATGGATAAATACAATTGTGGAGAGAAAACAGGATTCATGCCTTATATGGTAAGATTTACTTTTGGAATTGAATAAATAGTTATACAAAAGCTTAAATCTGGTGGAATGTCCCTTGTCTCCATGTGGTATTTTATTTTTCTTGATTGGAAAACAAGGGTGCAGGAGAAATTGGCTTGCTAATATTCATAATTGTAAGAGGACTCATATGCTTTCCATATACCACCAAAAGATTATGTTTGGCAACAGACAAAAACTAACAATAAGGTTTCCAGTATGAGTTCATGGTTTAATAACTTAATACAAGGAGGTACAGATAAAAGGAAAATTGAATTGTAAATGGTCCCATTCTCTTTAATGACTGTGCGGTCATGGTGGGGAATAATCACATTGCTCAATGTAATACAATAGGTCAAAGTAAGATATGGACACTCTGCATGACCTCATTTTTTTTATAACAAGCACGATATTGAATAAATTTGTAGTGATATATATATGTGATCTTTACTTTTTGACATTATGAAAATAATAATATAATATCCTGTGTATTAACAGTATCAATGTCACGTGAGCTAAACATTTTCAAGTGCTCCTTATATTTCACATGAAGTATGATGAGTCTTGTTCTCTACAACCACCATTTTAGTGCCACTTGCTTAATGATGTAATGACAAGTTTGCCAGTTTTCGAAAATTAGTCCATGGATTATATATTGGAGTGCAGGAGGGGGAAGGGCTGCAGGTGAATAGAGAAAGCTACTGTGAGTCGTGGCTGGGCGAGAGGACACTACCTGTAGCAGGAAGAGTGGGGCAGTAATGGGAGTCCAAATGAACTGGCCACCACGTTCTTTGTTGCCTCTCCTCTCTGTCATATTTGCTACTGCTTTGATCTGGCTTCAGTCGTCTCTCACCCACTCTTCCAAAGTACTCCTCCTGCCTCTAGTCTTCCTCCCGTGCTGCTTCCAATAAACTTTGAAAATACAAGGTCCTGATTAAAATCACTTGATCGCTTTTCACTGATGGCTCAAATCAGTGTAACATTCCAGACTCTGATGCGGAAGGTCTATTTTCAAGGGAGTGGAGAGGAGTATGATGGGTAGCATAAGGAAGTGAATTAAAAGGAGTTTCATATTAAAAAGGAGGAGGAAGTTCCCTGGAGTACCCAGAGCTGTATGGGAGACAAGACTCTATGGCATCCTCGCCAGCGCTTCTTCATGTTTTTACTGTACTAAAGAGATGAAAGTACTGGTTCTTCAGTCAAGTATCAGGTAAATCCTTCACCTTATCTGGGGACCATCAGTGCAGTTGATACAGGTTGTAAGCCTTTGCTGAGTCTTCATTGAATTTGCCTTGAGTGGACACCCTCCTCCAAATACTCCAAAATACTAGTGAACCAAAGTAAAGGACATTGGAACCCTTACACTCTTTGTAGCAGGGGAGGGCAGGGTTGGGTAGACAGTAGATGAACTGAACTAGCTAGAGAACTCCCTGAACTGGGCAGTGGCCAAGAACATCCTTCATTTCAGTGTTTGATGAAAAATGAGGAGTTCATAAAACAATGTATTTTAAATTTATTTCTGTGTTTAAAAAAAGACTGACAGAATACACATAAAATATTAATAGTGGTGGATTGTGGAATTATAGTTCATTCTTCTTTTCTTCTGAGGATCTTTATTTTCAGTTTTCATAGAATAAAGAAGGAATATATAGCGGGATTCTGGCAACTAGAATTTTGGGTAAGAGATGTAAGGAGTTCGAGACTGGAACAATAAGAGTAATGAAATCATATTTCTGAGGAGATCATTTTTTACATATTCTCTATGATTTGAAAGACAAGTTCAAACAGATAATTCCATTTCAAACTTTGAGACAAGTTCTATGTTAGGTGAGGATACCTGATGGGAGAGAGAGAAAAAAGAGAGAGAAGAAGAAAAGAAGGAAGGGAGGAAAGGAGGGAAGAAAGAAAAATCAAGTGACACTTAATTGATTTGAATATGCCAAGTATTTTTTTTTCACTTTTCATTTTGCTCCAAGTTCCCTTTTCCCTTAAATACAAATATTTTATTCCTCTCCCAAGAGTATGGATAGCCATCTCTCAGAAATCTCTAATAATTAGAAACAAGAGCAAGCTGGGAATGTGAGATTCAAAAAATATCCCCAAGACATGATTTAGTCAATAATTCCAACAACCTTGCTCGACAGATTTACTGGATTGTTGACCAGTAGAGCTATTATTTGCTTTCAGAAAAACAAATTGGTTCAGGTGATAAATATAAATAATTCTTGCCTACAGTTGGGAGAGGTTTAGAGGAGGAACTAGCACAATTGAGTATAGTTCAATGAGAGATAGAAAGAGTCCCTGAAAATGCACTGCACACAGCAAGGACCCAGTGATAGTTGTCTTATTAAGCACCTATTACATGCTAGACACTGTGGCACACGCCTTGCATGTATTATATCTAAATTTCTCACTGATCAACCCAATCAACATTTTACCACACTGAATTATATTTTTAAATTGTGGAAATTGAGATTTGTAGTATTTTCTTCAGGGTCACGCAGGTAATAAATGTGAAGGACTGAAATTTAAACACAAGTCTGAGTTTGATTTTCTAAATTTGTTTGACTATAATATTTTGGGAATGATCCTATTCTATGAACAATGTTTTAGAAATTGAATTTCACTTTGGTTTAGTTCTCCTTTCTACATATGCTATAGGACATGACAATACACATGCTTTTAAAAATATTGTATTATAAGAGGGAAAAAAGGAAGTAAAGCCTTTGGATAATGAGTAAATTTCACTCTGAATCCCAGAATAAGAATAGAATCTCTATATGAAATAAGATTCAGCTATTTTAGTTTAAGATTGGATACATCCTTCATTAAGTTGCATGTGACATTAACTCTTAAATTTGATTGAGTTTCCAGTGAGACGATGGGATCAGAAAATCACTACTGGTAATGTTTTTGGTACCCAGTTTGAGAAAAAGGGACTGTATTGACACAAGCTTCATGGTTACAGTTTCTGAGTGTAGTTATCTAAGTTGTTAGCATATGCAGCACCACATTCTGACCTCATTCACAAAGCTTTTGCCTGACCCCACCTCTGGGCATGGTTTCTGCTTCTTGTTCTCCTAGGAAGCTTCAGAAATGGTGATCTGTATACCATGACAGTTGTATGTAGGACACATAGCAACACCCCTGGACTCGTCTCTTC